TAGGGAAAAGCACAGGATAACCATGAGTGAAAGAATAAGACGACAGCATGAGAAGCAGTTTAGCAAACATGAGTAGCAGTTCCTCCCAGCACATGTTCATTTTAGTCTGTTCCTGATGGCCCATGTTCAGTTTAGTTTTAGTCTGCTAAAAGGAAATAAGATGAATAAAAAAGCATCAGAGATGAAACAATTCTGAAGTCAGAAACAAGGCAAAGTCTTGAAGATGCAAAGGTTGAGAAGGTTAGTTGCAAATTACCCAACAATTGTTTGTTATCTTACACAGGACATGGTAACTTTATGCCAGCAAAGAAAACATTTATTTACATACTTTTTAATCAGGATAATTCAATATCTAGATTAAGATTACCTTATCACTAGTGCAAAGTTATCAAAAAAAAAAGTATTACCCTCTGATACAGTGATATCTGGTTAATGATCTTCAAAGTGTTGTTTTACTTCATATTTTAAACATCTATTCTTTCCTTTTACATTTATTTTCTTTTCCATAAACTGTCCACATAATCACAAACCGCCCGCTCTCTCTCTGAACATAACAAATGACTTCCCTGTGTCATACCCGCATTGCATATTCTTTGCACTGTATCACATTTAAAATTTCAGATAGTCTTTTTACGTGTGACTGCAGGTCAAATTTCTTGAAGTTTATCCCTTGAATACTCTTGATTCCTAGCACATGCCTGGGGGTCAGACTTTAGCTTTGGCAAAGGCCAGTACAGATTATGTCAACTGGTCTTTTATTATCTGCTACTTTTCTGGCATCCCCAAGGAAAGACTGAACTGCAAAATTGGTCATTCCTTACCATTGTTCCCATTTATCCTTATATTATATTACCGGTACAGTTCACACACCCTTTGGTTTATTTCTTGCAGGGCAGCGTGCTGTGGAGGCAATGTTCCAGCAAAGTCCCAGTGTCAATTCAGCACTGTTTGTCCCAGCAACGTCCAGTGTTCCTGCTGGCTGGCAGTGCTCCTCAGACTTTCCGTCTTTCTCAGGTGCACCTCCCCTCCATACTGCTGCAGGTCTTCTTTTAGCATCTGCAGTAGATGTGTTTTCATTCAACATTTGTGATGGGCATAGATGCTCACCGGGGCTCAGCTAACACGTGGTAATTTGCTGAGCAGATACCACTCAACAGTATGTCCAACCCCCAAAATCTTACATTTATCAAGTTCTTGATATGTTGTAGGATTTCACCCAGTAGCTCTTCATTCATTGGAGAGGAGCTAAAGCAGAGGGAAAGAAGGGATGAGAGCTGAGAGAAAAAACTCCTTTAGTAGCCAGTGTAAAACCAAGAGTCAAGATATACTCTATGCATACCAAGTTAGCAATACAAATTGTAAATTGAAAGAGAAGTAAAAACCACCAGGCCCTACTCAACCAGAGATGATTTTTGTTCTGTCACTCAACATAACACAAACACTGGGTGTCAGTTAAGAAAATATGTTATTTCCAGCAAAGACGAAAATCAAATTCAAGCACATATTGAAAATTCAGACAGCGTTAAATCTATGATTGAAATCTATAAAGTGATGTCTTTTGTTAATGCACACACTGTGTGCGTTTCTGCATTTTGTACTTGCATTTATGCTTTATTTAAATATCACAATGAACTAACAAAAAGCCTGCAAAATATAATCACCTTAACATACAAAATGACTTTGGATTTGAAACCTCATGTCTCTCAGAGTCTCATTTTGTATCTGTTCATTAGAGAACTGAATGCTCTATTAAAGCATCAATGCGTGTGCATTCAAGTTAAAATGAACCAAACTAAGAAGAATTCTGTTACAGCAGCGAGAGCTTCAAAAAGGACATTCTGGTTCACAGCAGGAGGGTACAATCCTTGCTCCACTGAATTCAATCATAAACCTACAGCATCACCTTGGAGTTACTCTTAGGGACCTGATTATCAAAATACATGTGTTGAGCAGAAAAGTAGAGCAGTGAGGGACATGCAAATTGCACCAAATCTCACTGCACCTGAGAGTCAGCGCATGCTTTGCACTGGGTCAGGGAAACCTACGGTCACGAGGCAAAGGTTCAGGGTGCTGACTGCTCCCCCCAGTCCCTCTGGGCCACTCATGAGTCACTGCCATGGAAGTGCTGAAGCCACTTGTTGATGCTGCTGCAGACAATTTGCAGCTTCCCCCGGCTGGACTCCTCGGAATGTTCCATTTCTGCTCCAACACAACCCAACCTCTCCCTGAACTGCTCAGTCTCTTCCTGCAGATCAGCCAGGTCTCCCGTGTCCTGCAGGCATTGGGCAAGAGAGTAGGAAAAGGGACTGTTGCCGTGATTATTTTGATCTGAGTAGGAGGAACTCTCCCTTTGTCCTAGTGATTGAGATATGTACGTATCAGAGATCTGGGAAATGTCTGTAATTCCACAGTGCAGCCCTCACAAACCCTTTGAGACAGGACTAGGGTGCTCACCCTCGCCAGGCATGCCAGAACTGAGTGCTTGACTCGTTGTTTGTATGCTACCAAGAGACCATGCAGCCCCACACCTATGAGGCCAAAATTACACTAGCCTGGATCTGGTTTGGCTTTATGGAGAATGAATGGGAAGAGAGAAGAAAGCCACAAAGAAAAATGGGAAACGGGAAAAAAAAAAGTTTGAGGTAGAGAAAAGGGGACATGGATTAAAAAGAAAGAGAAGCGGAGTGTGAACTAATTCAAATTTTAATGTTCATTTGAAATCAGGCCAAGATTTGAAAGTTCAAATAACAGCCAAAGTACCAAATGCTTTATTGAGAACCGTAGAGCTACATAAACCACACACACACTTTGAACAGGTGTCCATCACAGGCAGGTCCCTACCTTTGAGGCCAAGAGGACTATGAAATGCTTGAGAACGTTGGTCAGTGTCTTTCCACTAACATGGAGCCCGCGAACCAATGTGAGCTGGTTTCTGTCTATTATCTGGGATTAAAAAAAAATACAAACTTATTTGCCCTGTTCTTTTCTGAGAGGAGAGGCATCTGACAGTAACATGGGAGCTTTGCCATAAATGAAATGCAGCTCAAGTGGTTGAGTCCACTTTCCTTACAATTAAATCTCTGCTCTCTCAGACAGTCTCAGAAGTTCTGCTAACAAATTTTAAACTTGAATCAGATAAAGTAGGAGATCACAAACAAGGGGGACACACAAACAAGGAAGCACAGAATTAACTGAGAATGGTATTTTGTCAGGAATTGTAAGGAATCTGGGTACAATATTCTAAATGATGGGGAAATATGAAACTTTTTAGTCTAACCCATTGCAAAATGGAAATACTCATTTCACAGAAGTTCTTCCTGCAGAGAACTTGGACACCTGTCCCAAAAACGCTGTGTGAATCAACTGGTTTCCATTAAAATAAAACCATGCATGAAATACAACACACCTCAGGAAATGAGGTCAGGGCAGATATGAGACATGTTACTACCCAATCGTATTAAATAAAAATGTTCTTTGGGATGAAATCTGCCCTTGAAACAAGACTGCTAGCTGTGATGTTTCATACCTTGTGGTGTATCACTGATCTCCTGCACGTACCTTCAGAGCCAGGTCATACGCAGCTGAGCTCCAAATGATTCTCTTGAGCTAGCAGCAGAACCTGCTCTTCCAGTCGTCTTCTCTGCAACTCGTATAACTCCCGATACTCTTCCAAAAGGGTAGAAGAAGAGAAAGATGATGAAACATGTGCACCTGTGTTTCTCATTCACGTTCACTGTCTTCCTCCGAATTCCTAAAGCTTCTCTTAGACATTTCCTCATCCTCCATCCTTCCTCAGTTGCCTTCTGCACAGCCTGTAAATTCACAGGTCCTTTTCCCCAAGCCCATACAACACCTTTCTCTTGATATTCCCATTGTGAGTTTCCAATCAATATGAATACAGATCTCTGCTGGGACTAGACTAGCTGTTTTCTTCATGACACAAGATTCCTGAAGGTAAATCTGTGTACCTACTCACTCACCACAACTGATACCAACCATCTAAATCTCTGATTTTCTTAGGTATCTGAAGATGTCCACAGGCCCCTCAGAAGTTCTGAGCTGCAGGCTCTGCTAGACTATGAGGAGCTCACTGGCTGTGAATGTGGAGTGACGAAAAGGGAATGCCAGCACCTGAGCAACAAATGCAACTTTCACGACTTAAAACTAGAAACGTTTTGAACGGCTTTCTCTCCCTTCGAGGACTTTAGGATTTATAGCAAAATAATGGCATTTGCCATAAACAGACAAGCTCTTTCCCCAGAAGGAAACCAGTCTTGACTTCTCCTTCCCAACAACCCTGAGAGAATGATACCAGCATGCTGCAGAAATCTCCCCACCTCAACCTACTTGGCATTCGCCTTAGCCTCCTGCATGGCTGCAGCTAGCTCCTCTTGGGCTTTTTCTGCTTCTTTGGTCACCTTGAGGTCATCCTCTAGTACCTCGTACAGCCCGCTGAAACAGCAAGGAACAGTCTTAATGCAACTTAACCCAACCCAAAGATCTCTACTCTGGCAAATACAGACTGGTGGGCTCTACACTATCACGCAGGGCTCTCTTCATCCAACACAATCATCTCACCGTAGGGGTGAAAGGCACCTTGAAGACGTCCTCTTCCCATGCACGCATGTTGCTCCAACAACCCTTGTATGCGGTCCCCCACCAATGAACCTCCACAGTGTTAAGGAAAGGGGGTGGCTTTGACATTATTTGGCACTAAGAGGGTGCACTGAGAGTATGAGGAGGCTCAAGTGCGGTTCCTGTAGCTTTGCTTCAAATCGTAACACTGTCTTCCTGCTCCCACGGGAGGAAGATTAGAAAACCAAACAAAGTCAATGGGCTAAGTATAGGGTACAGAGATAATTTCTTAGGATCAGGCAGGATTCAGACCCAGCCAGCTGTCCAACAGATTCTTTAAACTAAACTGCTTCCTCTGTAATATGTTTGTCAACCAACCGCTGTGTCATCATTTTTTTGTATAGGGTCTTCATCTGTTCAGGAATCCGCTCCAGGAGACCCACATACCTCTGCCTGCAGTAAAAAGAGTGAAAAAGGGTATTTACCTGAGAGTGCAGATCTCTCCTATACCATCTGAAGACCCTTTCCTTTCGCTGCACAGGAAAGCAAATAGAAGGCAATCTTTTGAGTATTTGGACTGGCGATTTTAAACACTCAAACAATTTAATTGCTACAAATAGTGATAATCTGAGCACAGGATGGGAAATACCAGCTATTCTACGTGTGAAAACTGCCACAATGTCACACCAATAATGCACCCATACCGTCAAGTGCGGTGACAGTGCCGACTTCAACTGCTACCTAACCGAGGCTCGTTAGCCCCGGTTGTTAACTAGGCAGGGAAATCATATTTTACTCCTGGCATCACACCCCATGCCAATTACATCGTGACGGGCTAGCTTTGCTGGGCAAGGACATTAGGAGCAATCTGCAATAGCTAATGCTACTCCCGAGAAGACACTGCCACAAATCAAGAGGGGGATTAAGGGTTGGCTAATGATGACCTGAGCTTCGAAAGGAGCTGTCCTCTCTCCACGCAGTCCATGCTGAGCTGCCGAATCAGTTCATGAAAAATGATATTATAGATGTTCTGCTCTGCCTTCATCAGCTCCAGCACGTTGTGCAGCTTGCAAAACAGGTGAGAAAAATCACAGCCTTGCAGAGCCTAGCCAGCCTACTCCTTTAACAACAGATTAGCATTTCTTCTGAAGCAGGTTTCCCTTTGAGGGCAAAACACTACTAAAGGTAGAAAGAGGAAGGGAAAGAACCATCCTGCGTGTATTCACACGTTCGTTTTCAAACACGTTAGGCACTACCCTGACTACCCTCCTGTCAACATCCATGGCAGCTTCTCCACTAATTCCAGCTGGAGTTCGTGCTGAGACAATGCTCTATGTTTTTCAAAAATCCTTCCCCATCACCATGCAAGGATAACAGAAAATAAGGCAATGCAAGGTACAGATGTTCTTTGACATCTGCTTTTTAGGTGTATGAAGGTTTCCAATGGCCAATTTTGTAACATAGCAACCTATCTCCCAACAAAGAGATGAGACAGTTACTGCCCTTGTTCCTCCATAGTAATAATGCCAAATGCATTCTCTTCTGGCATTTTTGCCAGAAATGTAACTTCCTACTCCAGGAAACTAACTGTTCCTTTGTGGCTCAGACAAAGCTGAAGAGAAGCTCAGGAGAGGAAACCCCTGATTATTACAGGACCTACAGACAGCTGGCTTGGGCAGAAGCTAGCTTCTAGCAGGCACCTTCAGCACAACAGGGATAAACACTAGGGAAAACAGAATGTTATTTTTCTGGGTACAAGCAAGTTATCCACCTGTGAAGGCCTTGTAATTCTGATTAGCTTGTAATTCTGATTAGCTTTTTCCAACATGCTGTCCATCAGCTCCATCAGCTGGATGATGTCTAACCTCCCAGAAGGTTTCCTGACAGACCAGAAAGAGACACATCATTATTCCATAGAGCATATTATGATATTTTCCCAGGAAATTAAATTCAAACAGCTGTTTTTCTCCAACAACAACTTCATGTGGGGTGGTACTTACATGGATGGGAACTGCCGCAGTTTCTTTCACAGTATTCAAGCAGTGTTATTTACTGAAACGAACACAAGTGTTAGAACTTGATTACAAAGCAATCCTTCCAGTGCCAGTGAAGGAGTCCTGCTCTCTCCTTCAATCTCTTTGTCCCATGTACAAGCTGATGAAAGTTGGAAAGTCAGAGAAGGGTCTACAGGGGGAGCATCCAGAGCCTAATGTGAGAATTGCACCTCCTGCAGCTGTTCCCTCAGCTGGAGCTCCTTCTTTTGGCCACTAGCAACAGAAATCTTGTAGGAACCCTCTCCCTTTAAGACCTCTCATGGTACTTGGCTAAGAAGTCACTGATGGGTTTAAAAGTTACTGGTGGGGCCAGAAAAGCACTATGTATCCACATCACACCCACCCAGAGGCTGATCACAGGAGACCATCGAAATAATAAGATCATGTTCTGTTACATCATCTTGGCAAAGAAGCTGTGAGGATTTCACTCCTAATCTTAGTATTTTAATCCTTGAATAATGAGACAGAACCTCCTTTAAATTTATTAAGTTATCTGGAGGGATCAAGGGGAGTCTCAGTAGCCTTTTTTGGGCAAGGCTTCGTACACTCAATTCAAAACTCACAGCCTGAAAAACTG